TCATCTGCATTCTCAGTGAGATGAGGGACTTCTTGCAACCTGACTTCAATAAACATTTCCAGGAAATGGTAAGTAGCAGCAGCTTGGATCAGTGGCAGTACTTGTCCTGGCTGATACAGAACAAGTGTCATGTCAGTGAGAAACCTGAGGCTCTCCTGCTTTTTCTATGACAAACCACCTATTGGGTGACTACTGGTACAGGCAAGCAGACCTGGAAGAGAACTCCTGGGCTGTCACATTCAGTGTCTTGCAAGTAGAGCCATGATCGTTTTCTCTTTCAGAATTTGGACACACGGGCTAACCTGGCCTTGGCTTCCCAGTTCACAGCTCTGGATTATATTACGGTAAGGAACATACTGTGGTGAAGGCTGAAGGGAGGCATCTAGTGAAACTGTAGAGGTGGGGCAGGGGATTCTCTTAACCTCCTCATACACATGGAAAGGTAATCACCCAACTGTACTTACCCTCTGCTATGAAAGCATGCTGAATAGTGGGGGACCACAGAGGACATGCCATGTGGACTGGTGTCCTGCATGTTGATTCCAAACTGCAGGAATGGTGTGGTCTTTTGCAAAGGCATAGGCTCTGATAGGCAGAGTCTGTCATCATCGAACATGAGCCTCATGAGCCAAGAGAGCCCAGTCAGACACTAGTCTTTCTGCTTGCAGGCAAATCGACAGAGAACTAGGAGCATGAGATTTTTGCGAGAGATCTTCACCACTGTGAACTGCATCCTTACACCAGGTATTGGCCGCCATGGCCCAAGAGCTGCTCCCCCATCAGCTCTGTGGTGCCTTTTAAGAACAGTCACTCCATTAACTATCCCTTCCCAATTTTAAGAGCATGACTTTTGTGCAAAGACTTTGCTGTTCCTCAAGCCTTTAGAAGAAAATGCAGCCTGGTTAGAAAGACTGCTGTGTATTTCTAGACCTACTGCCTATATCCACGGCAGTGAGAAACTCCTTGGTACTTGACACAGGAACTGCAGAGCCAGCACATCTACACAGGAGGGACCGGACATCTACTTATATATGAAGATATGTTCTTGCTTTAAATAGAAACTAAATGCTTAATTCATAAATCCTAGTGACTTGATTGCGTTCCAGGGGCGTGAGTTTGCATCAGTGATATATGTCAAATATGTGGCTTTAATGAACTCAGTTGTTCCTTGAAGATTGCCTACTGCCTGACTCTTCTTTTGCTCTTTAAGCACTGGATCAGGTTGCCCAGGGAGGCTGTGGAATCTCTATCCCTGGGGACATTCAGAAGCCATTTAGACATGGTCCTGGGCAACCTGCTCTAGCTGACTGTCCTTGAGACAGAGGGTTAGACAAGATGACCTCCCGAGAGGGTTAGACAAGATGCCCTCCCGAGGTCCCTTTCAATCTCATTCTTTCTGTGATTCCTCCACAGCTGTTGCTTCCACTGCCCCAAGAATCTATGAATCTGACCTCTTGACTGGGAGCAGCGATTTGTCCCTCACAGTCCGGTCTATGAGGTAAGAAGAATGCTGCTTGCGCTACGGAAGCAAAAGTTTGGGAACAGTTGGAGACTAGCTGCACTAACTGAAGGAGCTCAGGCTGTAGAGCAGGAGAGATTGAACCTAGCTGCCTCTCCCCAAAAAAGGATGACTTTG